TACATTTTTGTAAGATTTAAAACTTATATCTAACTATAGGATACTTAAATAGTTGATACTTTCCGGTTAAAGATGTAAATTCTCTTGACATAACGTTACCGGCTATATTGCTCTAGTTCTGAATGGTCGAAAAATTATTGTATCGGCAGTGTAGTCTCGTTCAATCAGACGCTTGCGCAGACAACAAGAGTCTGGTTGAACGAGACTATCACGCAGAGTTACGGTCCTTGCACTCCCTACGACAACTCTGGGTAGAGATTGCAGTGGTATATATTTAGAAAACGGAATATTAACAAACCAACGTGCTGGTTGTCAACAAAAACGGAGTTTATCACAGTGAAGCAAAATGATAGGACAAAAAAACCCATACCAGTATTTTCATAAGACTTTTTTAATTGATATTTTGCACGAAAAAAAACAAGAAAAAATTGAATCCATACTGTAACATTTTCATTTTTGATTACTATCTCACAGCTATTTTTTTTTTATTCATAAAAGAAAATCTGCTGTTTTACAAATCTGCACGATTAAAAAATAATTCTATACAGTTTTATGTGCTGAACTGATTCAATTTCAAATTGAGGAAACAATACATTTTCTCTATTGCTAAAACTATACATAAAGCAGAGACATATAAAGCATATAGTCAGTAAGTTGCTGAAACAAATGTATTCATCCACAATATATATATGATATATAGATCTATTGACTCTCTTGGCTGCAATGATGGGTATTGAAAAATGACAAAAATTGTGATTTCGCATATGCTTCTTATTTTAATAGAAACTTCATATAAATCCAGTTTTTATAGCATTGAACAAATTAATTTTTACACATAAAAAGCACAAAAATGGTAAAATACTTTGCATAAATTATCTCTGGATACAATATTTATAAATCATTGAAGTTAAGTTTGAAGTATTCCAAAGGGCTTATTCGTAAAGATATATATATGTGTATATCTTTTCGTGGATATCAGATAACTATGCTATTATACATGATTAACAATATCCATCCTAAAATGTTTTATTTCAATGTCTTTGTAGAATATGCTGCACTTGATTTTTGCAATGGATTCAAGAGGTGCAAATTTAAATACTTATATAGAGTCTAATAAACCTTTCGCATTCTCACATTAATGTCATGTCATCATACGCCTAGGCGGAAAACTTAAAGATATCAAACATATTGTCAGCCAAAAAGAAATCAAGAAAGGAAACTTAACTGTAATATACACTGTATAGCTATACATGTAGGTCTGCTTTAGTAATTTAACACATCACTCAATGCTTGAAAGAGTACAGAGTACAGTACCGATATTCCGATACATTTACAGTACAACCTGACTCCGCCCTCACTAACGGCCGTGCCGTAAAACATATTAGAGGGCGGAGCGAAGCTCTCCCTATAGGTAACACGTTTGTAAATAAAAAAAGATTATTCACAATACCTATGGAACTGAAAAACTTTGTCTTAACATGGCCGCCAGTCGCACGCGCTGTAGTCTCCGCCATCTTGATCTCGAAACAAGTTCTCGTTTGCCGAATCTCGAACAAACGGTACATTTTTGTAAGATTTAAAACTTATATCTAACTATAGGATACTTAAATAGTTGATACTTTCCGGTTAAAGATGTAAATTCTCTTGACATAACGTTACCGGCTATATTGCTCTAGTTCTGAATGGTCGAAAAATTATTGTATCGGCAGTGTAGTCTCGTTCAATCAGACGCTTGCGCAGACAACAAGAGTCTGGTTGAACGAGACTATCACGCAGAGTTACGGTCCTTGCACTCCCTACGACAACTCTGGGTAGAGATTGCAGTGGTATATATTTAGAAAACGGAATATTAACAAACCAACGTGCTGGTTGTCAACAAAAACGGAGTTTATCACAGTGAAGCAAAATGATAGGACAAAAAAACCCATACCAGTATTTTCATAAGACTTTTTTAATTGATATTTTGCACGAAAAAAAACAAGAAAAAATTGAATCCATACTGTAACATTTTCATTTTTGATTACTATCTCACAGCTATTTTTTTTTTATTCATAAAAGAAAATCTGCTGTTTTACAAATCTGCACGATTAAAAAATAATTCTATACAGTTTTATGTGCTGAACTGATTCAATTTCAAATTGAGGAAACAATACATTTTCTCTATTGCTAAAACTATACATAAAGCAGAGATATATAAAGCATGTAGTCAGTAAGTTGCTGAAACAAATGTATTCATCCACAATATATATATATATATAGATCTATTGACTCTCTTGGCTGGAATGATGGGTATTGAAAAATGACAAAAAATGTGATTTCGCATATTCTTCTTATTTTTAATAGAAACTTCATATAAATCCAGTTTTTATAGCATTGAACAAATTATTTTTTTTACACATAAAAAGGACAAAATTTATTGTAAAATACTATGCATAAATTATCTCTGGATACAATGTTTATAAATCATTGAAGTTAAGTTTGAAGTAATCCAAAGGGCTTATTCGTAAAGATATATATACACACGCAAGAATAGGTCCTCTACATCAGCGTTATAAATAATAATAAATAATAAATAAATAATAATCTTTATTTAACGTCGTGTTCAATTGTCAACAACAAACATAAGCTCAGTAGAGCTTTTATTACGACGCCGCTAAGGGAACAAATGGTGTTTTCGTGGTGGAGGAAACTCACGGGGGAAAACCACCGTGCCATCGGAGGGATAACAACTAACCCTATCAGACATCACTCTCTTGTTTCCACCACCGCTGGGGATCGAACCGAAATTGGTAGAGCGAGTGTTCCTTGTCCGCGATGTTCTCAGCTTAATTGCTGCCTTCGGCTGTCTTTAGCCGAGGGGACTATTTTTTTTATTTTTTTTTATATATAACAGCTATATTTTCAATTACAGTTATCAGTTCTATCTTCTTGTAATATGATGTATATGTACATGTAACTGTTCCGTTTCACTGTGTTTTGAGAAAGGAGCGGACCGCTCCGAAAATTTGACAACCTAAACTTGTTCACACTGCCGTTGGAATTACTTCTTTGCCCCATATATATGTATATCTTTTCGTGGATATCAGATAACTATGCTTTTATACATGATTAACAATATCCATCCTAAAATGTTTTATTTCAATGTCTTTGTAGAATATGCTGCACTTGATTTTTGCAATGGATTCAAGAGGTGCAAATTTAAATACTTATATAGAGTCTAATGAACCTTTCGCATTCTCACATTAATTTTCCTAGGCGGAAAACTTCAAGATATCAACCATCTTGTCAGCCAAAAAGAAATCAAGAAAGGAAACTTAACTGTAATATACACTGTATAGCTATACATGTAGGTCTGATTTAGTCATTCAACACATCACGCAATGCTTGAAAGAGTACAGTACCGATATTCCGATACATTAATGATTTACAGTACAACCTGGCTCCGCCCTCACTAACGGCCGTGCCGTAAAACATATTATTCATATAACCGAAGTTGTTGCAATGGCGACAAACAAACGAAATCAAATGGCATGCAATACAAATGTATTCTATAAAAAACACGTGTCTACAAACAAAAGATTTAATTTTCCCGCTGAAATATCCTCTTCGGATATGATATACTTTACTAATAGAAGCAGAGAGTACTCGATTGTTATTCTCGAATGGGTTGATTGTATCTGCTTCTTTTCAAAGGCTACAAAAAACAACAAAGCCTAATGTAGTATCAAAACCAATGAAAAGTCCTGTGTCAGAACAAAGCAGCGTCGTATTTACACCTTTTTATCTGATAAAATCGTTGATTAAAGAGTGCTGTTTATGTAGGACTAGCAGCGCGACATCTACTTGTGTCTTATACTATATCCGGACCGGAAGTGTCTTGATTTCATCACCTGTTCACGTTGTTGATCTGGGGGTATATAAAAGTTGCTTCCCATAACCCGTATTCAGTTGTGGCAGGCATGACAAGCACATAGGGTGAGTAGACAGAGCTCATGAACAGTAGACCTTGCTACTGTAGAGACGATCATTTCCTAATTTATTCATAAAAGTTGCATCATTCTCTCCCTATCATGTTTGTGAAATACTGTAGACTGTAGTCGAACGTGGATGGCCTACATTCGTTTTAGTTTCAGTTTCGAAACTTTCCGAAGTTCCGCAAAGTATAGTTTGGAGTAAGTATGACTGAAATATAATATCGGAATTTCACGTAAGTAGACATTGTGCTAAAAGACCGGGTGTGACGTCGAACCGTATACAGTTACAAGATGTGAAGTGTGTACCATATGCACAGCACTGTGGAGATAATGAAGTGGAAACGGATTAGTTACGGAGACGTGTGACAGATGTATCTAATTGTCCGTCAGTGTGAAAAAGACGTAGATTTTTGTTGTCATTATATTTATATTTATTTCCACCACAACTAGAAGCTGGACATTTTCTGTTCAACTACATGTTATTCAACAGGTGTTATTTTTTCTATAACTAAAATTAGTTTATGTACTCTTGACAATCCTTTCCTTGACATGTAGTTTGGCTTATTATGATGCACATGTTTGCAGTTAAAAAGAAGATGTACGACTTTTTTGGTTAGTTTAAAAAACCCATGAATAAGTTAAAAAGACTGTATGTTAACTGTATGTTTTATAGGTGCTTTTAATATTGCTAATTTAGAAGACTTGGTAGGTAGGGGTTGCCCAATCACCTTTCCTCTGATTATATGTGCTGAGGTGCTCTGATATGCACTGCCTTGTTTATACTTCATCCTTGCTTTTACTTATTGATATATATATATATTTTTTTTTTTTTTAAGATCTGAAATTTATATCATGCTGTCTCTCTATGGCCAGAGAACTTGGTAGATAGGGGAATTCAAATCACCTGTCCTCTGAGCCGAATTATTTTACTGTATTTATAAGAAATCAGGATCTTTACAGACTCAAATGTATCTTTAATTTACATATCTTTAAATTTTTGATCATTATTTAGATAATTGTAACTTAACAATTTTTACTTAATCACATTCCGTTATCTTAATAAAAAATAATCTCATAGTGTAATGTTTTTAATGAATATATGAATGAATCTGATTATAGTTAAATGTGGTCTTATTTTTTGTGTGTTTTTTTTATGAGCTTGTTTTCTCGCCTGCATGTTTGTATAGTTTTATTTCAATTTTGTTGTGCTTTTGTTTCTTAATGCATGTTTTGTTACATTAATACCCACTGTGGTACTTTTATATGTTCTGTCGTAAGAACAGCTCTTCAGAGCTAATGTTTCATGTTACATGTATACGACAAAAATAAAGTATCTCGTATCTTGTATCAAAGAATTTTTTACTTGACAGAACATTTGAAAAATATCACAGTAATTATTATCAAATATGCAATAAGAAACAGTATCAGTAAAGCAAATGCAATACATGATTAATCAAACAAAATCTTGCACTTATAAAAAGTTATGAAAGATTAATCACAGGAAGATATTGAAGTCTTATATTATTTATTTCATTGACATCGGTTGCATCTTTTATAAACCCACATTGTTGTGGTGGAAATGTTGCATTATGAGAGTGAACAGATAACATAAATTGAAGTTATATCCAAAGAGGCAGTTGCTATTCAGTCTAATCTGCCTCCATGAAAAAAGGTTAAATAGAGCTGTCGCAATCTATTATCAGCTGTCAATTTGACTTGTAATTCAGATTTGCCTTTTAGGCACTCGTAAGGGCAGAAAATGGTGAAAATTTGGGAGAACTAAAAATGTTCTTGTAATGAACCATCAGTCTGATGATTTTGATATATATCCATAAGATAATATCTTTAATACATACATGTCCTACAAGACAAAGGGCCATTGGAGGTGCTTAGAAATATACAGTGCAACATATGAATGTGAAAATTACCAAACATCTTCTAAGGAAATGAAACATCTAGTGTCATAATGATGATATGTGTTTCAGGTTGCCAAATTTAAGGTCAATTTCACAATAACTATTTATATAATTATTTTGTCATCTCTCTTCATTTCTGTGTGAATAATGAGAACAAAACATGAGGGGATTTGTTTCCTTTGTGATGCCTTAATTGTTTAAAAATAAATTTGACTGTGACAAATTTGGAGGTCGTAAATGTTGAGTATTTTCTTGAGCAGCATTGCATACAAATGTAACAGGTGAACTTAACAGTACAGTCCAATTTGGCCTTCATTTGTTGTTGTCGCATTTTATCAAAGCAACAATTCCACCATTGTATACCATATAACTTACAAGGTACAGATTATCAAGTCTTGTTGCCACATTCGGTGTCATTTGTACTGTTTTGTCACACTTGTACTAGTTTGACAGTGCTACAGGAACAGTGTATATAAACCCGTAGTTGAAAATATTTTTGTTTCTGTGTTCCAGGGTGTTAATAACTTGATGGCATTGCAGACAATCCTTTTGCAGACATTTCATCGTTACACACTAACATTATCTTCTAAAGGACAATTTGTACGAAAAGTGAATAAGGTTCACTTTCGTGAAGACCAGATTCGGTTTTATCTTCGAAAGCCTAAGATGACTAGTGAGTATTAAAAAAAAACCTCCCAAATAAAAGTTTACATAAAATAGAAAATCAGATTTAAGTTTATGGCATACTCAAACAAAACACTTTAAAACGTTGCACATGCAAATATTGGAGATTTATATATATATATATATATATATACCAGCAATGTCTTGAATTTGGTCAGTATGGACTTGTCTCACCATGATCAGATCTCTAAATATAAATGACTCACCATGGACCAGAGCCCTTTGTAAGGACAGTGCCATACAGAGCCCTTTGTAAGGACAGTACCCAACTGAGCCCTTTGTTAGGACAGTGCCAAATAGAGCCTTTTGTAAGGACAGTGTCATACAGAGCCCTTTGTAAGGACAGTGCCATACAGAGCTCTTTGTAAGGACGGTGCCCCAAAGAGCCTTTTGTAAGGACAGTGCCATACAGAGCCCTTTGTAAGGACAGTACCCAACAGAGCCCTTTGTAAGGACAGTGCCCCACAGAGGCTTTTGTAGGTACAGTGCCCCATAGAGCCCATTGTAAGGACAGTACCCAACAGAGCCCTTTGTAAGGACAGTGCCCCATAGAGCCTTTTGTAAGGACAGTACCCAACAGAGCCCTTTGTAAGGACAGTGCCACATAGAGCCTTTTGTAAGGACAGTGCGATACAGAGCCCTTTGTAAGGATAGTGCCATACAGAGCCCTTTGTAAGGACAGTACCCCATAGAGCCTTTTGTAAGGACAGTGCCCCATAGATCCTTTTGTAAGGACAGTGCCCCATAGAGCCCTTTGTAAGGACAGTACCCAACAGAGCCCTTTGTAAGGACAGTGCCCCATAGAGTCTTCTGTAAGGACAGTGCCCCATAGAGCCCTTTGTAAGGACAGTACCCAACAAAACCCTTTGTAAGGACAGTGCCCCATAGAGCCCTTTGTAAGGACAGTGCTATACAGAGCCCTTTGTAAGGACAGTGCGATACAGGGCCCTATGTAAGGACAGTGCCATACAGAGCCCTTTGTAAGGACAGTGCCCCATAGAGCCCTTTGTAAGGACAGTGCCATACAGAGCCCTTTGTAAGTAGTGCCATACAGAGCCCTATGTAAGGACAGTGCCATACAGAGCCATTTGTAAGGACAGTACCAAACAGAGCCCTTTGTAATGACAGTGCCATACAGAGCCTTTTGTAAGTACAGTGCCCCATAGAGCCCTTTGTAAGGACAGTGCCCAATAGAGCCTTTTGTAAGGACAGTACCTAACAAAGCCCTTTGTAAGGACCGTGCCCCATAGAGCTTTTGTAAGGACAGTGCGATACAGAGCCCTTTGTAAGGACAGTGCCATACAGAGCCCTTTGTAAAGACAGTACCCAACAGAGCCCTATGTAAGGACAGTGCCCCAAAGAGCCTTTTGTAAGGACGGTGCCCCATAGAGCCCTTTATAAGGACAGTACCCAACAGAGCCCCTTGTAAGGACTGTGCCCCATAGAGCCTTTTGTAAGGACAGTGCCCCATAGAGCCCTTTGTAAGGACAGTGCCATACAGAGTCCTTTGTCAGGACAGTGCCATACAGAGCCCTTTGTAAAGACAGTGGCCAATTGAGCCCTATGTAAGGACAGTACCACATTGAGCCCTTTGTAAGGACAGTGCCATACAGAGCCCTATGTAAGGACAGTACCCCATAGAGCCCTATGCAAGGACAGTGCCCCATAGAGCCATATGTAAGGACAATGGCATACAGAGCCCTTTGTAATGACAGTACCCAACAGAGCCCGTTGTAATGCCAGTGCCCCACAGAGACCTTTGTAAAGACAGTGACATACAGAGTCCTTTGTAAGGACAGTACCCAACAAAGCCCTATGTAAGGACAGTGCCCCACAGAGCCCTTTTAAGGACAGTGACATACAGAGTCCTTTATAAGGACAGTTCCCACAGAACCCTTTGTAAGGACAGTACCCAACAGAGCCCTTTGTAATGACAGTGCCCCACAGATCCCTTTGTAAGGACAGTGACATACAAAGCCCTTTGTAAGGACAGTACCCACATAATCCTTTGTAAGGACTATCTACTGTGTCAGACCCTTTTCTAACAACAAGATCACAGACCCTTTTCTATGAACACTGTCCTTTCTCAACTCTGTTGTCCACAGCTAGAGCCCTTTCTGAGAATCACCCACATCTTAAGAGTCCAAGGACCATGTCTACAGAGCCTTTCTAGGAGTTGTCTGCTATCCAGGAGCCCTTAAAAAGAAATGTCTACTATTTCAGAACCCATTTTAAAGATTGTCTGCTATATCAGATCCCTTTTAAAGGATTGTCTAGGATCTGAGAGCTGTTTCTTATACATATCTACAATCTCAGGGTCAAAGGATTGTCTATCCTGGAGCCTTTTATAAGGACCGTATCCAACACAGGCCTTTTTAAGAAACATTTTCTATCTAAGAAACATTTTCTATCTAAGAAACTTTTCTAAGTAATGTCTGCTATCCTGCAGTCCTTTTATGGGTCTCCTCCTATCCCACCAACCTTTTTAAGGACTTTCTTTGATCCAACAACTCATTCTAAGGACCCTGCCCCACAGATCTCTTTTTAATGGATGTGTTCTTTTCTAGAGATCAATCTAGGACTCATCTCCTATCCGAATGCTCTTTCTAAGGACGGTGTGTTATTGCAGAGACCATTTCGTGGACTGTCTACTATCCCAGAGACCATTCTAAGAAGGACCTTTTATCCAATTGATGAGCCCATCCTAAGCACCATGTCCCTAATAGCCATAGGAACTGTCTACTATCCCCGGTTCCTTTTCAGAGTTTTCTTTTATCTTAATGCCTTTTCTAAGAACTCTGCTATTGAAGGAGCGATTTCTTAGGACCCTTTCAGAGCTTTTTCTAAGGACTGCTATATTTCCCAGTTCCTCATGCAGACACAAAATGAATAACAGGTGAACAGTACAGGCCCATTGGGTCTCTTTTTTTTTTTATTAAAAATGATCAGAGTAAATGCTATAAATTTTCTCTCACTTTTGTTTTAAAGCTAAGAGAGTCCAGCCTCCTTGGAAGGTCCCTGAAGGATCAGATGATGTAAAGCTGAAGTTCTACAACAGCTTGACACGTCAAAAGGTAGGTTCGGACATTAAATACCGGGAGATACACCAATTAATCCTACAGGTAGGACACTAGATATTACACGTTTAGGAAGCCGGGAAATCAGGAGGAAGGCTTTTTTAAATTGAGAACATGAGACATGTTCATAAGAAAGTATGATCTCAACTCCATACTTATTAAAGTGATTAAATCTTCTGTACTCTTTTAAAGTGTGAAGAAATTTAAGAATTTGTGGACAACCCTTAATGAAACATTCATAATCTATCATTATTGAACAAAGGAGGCACATTCCAATAAATTCATCATCTTGTAAGGAATTCATTGTATTGATTTTTTTTTTACTATTAGTTCTTTATCTATTCAAATTTTAATTTCATTTGTACTAAATGTTCAGACAGACTTTAAGTTGAAAGCCAGTCTGTTGTCTTTATGTTGAATATGTTCTGTAGAATCATATTCAGTATTTGGTTTGGGTTTACCACAACATATATATCTTGAAAGATGCTTTGGATGAAATATCTGCCATCTCTTGGTCTGAATTTAATTGACTGTCATCACAAGTTTAGATTACTGGAGAATTCAATTGTCCAACAAGTTAAAAATGACAGCCTTTTGTTAGAATTACAAAGATATTCAGTCTGATGACAAGCTTTACTTTGATTTACGAAAGTCTTCAGTCTGATGACAAACTCTACTTGGATTTAAGAAAGTTTTCAGTCTGATGACAGACTTTACTTGGATTTACAAAAGTCTTCAGTCTGATGACAGGCTTTACTTGGATTTACGAAAGTCTACAGTCTGATGACAAGCTTTAGTTGGATTTACAAAAGTCTTCAGTCTGATGACAGGCTTTACTTGGATTTATGAAAGTCTACAGTCTGATGACAAGCTTTAGTTGGATTTACAAAAGTCTTCAGTCTGATGACAGGCTTTACTTGGATTTATGAAAGTCTACAGTCTGATGACAAGCTTTAGTTGGATTTACAAAAGTCTTCAGTCTGATGACAGGCTTTACTTGGATTTATGAAAGTCTACAGTCTGATGACAAGCTTTAGTTGGATTTACAAAAGTCTTCAGTCTGATGACAGGCTTTACTTGGATTTATGAAAGTCTACAGTCTGATGACAAGCTTTAGTTGGATTTACAAAAGTCTTCAGTCTGATGACAGGCTTTACTTGGATTTA